AATTTATATGTATTTCCTTATATAAGGAAATGAACCAAATTTTTTACCACATGAGAGTCCTTACTTTGAATCTTCTATAAAGGCAGATCCTTTCTTTTAGGACAGGAGAGAGGAGAAAAAGAAGGAAAATGCATTTTATTTATTAACTTGTGACTATCTGACTAAATGATAGCTCTGTCTTCCCTAGTTATTCTCTTGTGGTGGAGTGAGAGCTGCTGAAGGAATCAAATATTTGTTCATAAAGGAGTTACTTTTTCATCTCATTGCATACCTAATAATTGTATTTAATCTACATTAACATGGAGAAAGCTTTTTTTCTATATCCATCAGCACTAACATTTAACGAGCATCTAGTCCATTCTGACTAAATAAATAATCATTAAACTTTAACACTGGAAAGGGACCTTGAAAGCCACCTAGCAAGCTCTTTAAAGCAGATGGTGACTAAAAATCAAGTCCAGAAAAAGCGACAGTGTCAAAGCCAGAGACGCCCCAGCTCCCTGCATCAACGGGGGGGGGGGGGGAATGAACAACAGAAAGACCAATTTCATTTTTCTGAAGATGTGTATATCACACAGTGTCCTACAGATTGAAGCTCTTGATACATAATGTCATGACCATTAGACAGTGGGAAAATCTGGCAGAGTATCTACGTTATATCAGGATACATGTCCATCAACACATAAATTGTTAAGCATCAGTTGCCACAAATATAAAAATATATTAAATTGGTTTTTCTAAAATCAAATGTGTTTGTATAAAATAATGTGATCACTGACAAAAGGTGCATTAGTGTGTCCACTGACTATGGATCAATCATGTGAGGAGCTCGCAGGCTAGGCGACAGACACAAAGGCCCACCACATTTTCTCAATTAATCACATACGTGACCAGATGTGCCCACTGAGTTGTACAAATAAATCATAAATACCTCCAAAAAGTAAAGAATGTGCCTTGCAGAGTCAAAGATTCAAAAATATTTTATGCAAATATAAGGGTAGTAAAATAAATGTGCTGAAGTAAAAAGTGGATAGGATATGTAACTGAGTAATCAGGCTCTCCCCCTGTGACACTTTTTTTTTCCATATGAAGGTGAGCTTTACAAAGAGATCTAAAAATTAACTCTACCATAACACTCTTAGTGACCAAATTGGGCAACAAGTAGGATATTCAGCCTAAGGAATGTTGTCTCCTAGCAACCACAAGAGTGAGAACCAGAGATATACAAAGGCATACTTGAAAAGTCTGCAACCCCATGAGTTCAAAGATCAAAGCCCTAAAATTTAAAGATCTAGTCCTTTATTTAAAAATGTCCAAATGGGAAAATTTTTACTTTCCCCACTCTAAGTCATCAATAATGTATCTCAGTACTTAGAAACCATGCTGCTGTGACATAAGTATGTTAGAGCCTATCTTCAAAATCAAAAATATTTTTGCCAGATATAAATATAATCAATCACTAAACATTGTTTATTGTTAAATTTAGTGAGATGGTTAAAACCCAAAATACACGGAACTGGGACCGTGAGCTATCAGGACTTTACTGTTGATTTAAATTCTACTTTTATTAAAGGACAATAGAGATTCTAGTCGGCTGATGAAAGTTGGTTATTTGGAATTGCAAAGCAGCATCAGCTTAAGAAGGCTCTGCCATACAGTATAT